AGATGATTCCACATGAGGGGTTGCCCACCCCAGAAAAACTAACAATATGATTAAAGGCTTGAAGCTCTAAGCAAGATAATCTCAGCCCAACCTCCAGACAGAGGAAGGAGGCCTAAAGATTGAATTCAATCACATGAACGATTCAATCAATCACAACTACACAATAGAACCCCAGAAAAATCTCTGGATTCCAAGGCTCAAGTGAGATTCCTGGTTGGTCACACACATCAATGTACCAGAAGGGTGATGCACCCTGAAGATATGATTTCTGAGCATTTGGGACTCTCCCAGGACCTGTGTTCTCCCTCATGTGTCTCTTATTTGGTGAGTCCTAACTTTATATCAATTATCATAAAGCCATAATCAGAAGCAGAATGCTTTCCTGAGTTCTGGGAGCTTTTCTAATGAATCATATGCCCATAAGTTTGATGAAGCTTATGGGCATATGTGGGAACCCCTATTTTGTTCTTACAGAAGACTTTGTTCTGAGCCTGTGAAATGTGCACTGACTCTGACATTATTGTCAGAATTCCATTTTAGCTATGGCTCTAACGATCTTATTTTCCTATCAAGAAGCTGCAGAGAAGCACATCATCTTAACCCACATTAGTGACTAATGGTGAGGGAAGACACTGGTAACATTGTTACACACCCCGAAGGTATATATTTGGAATTTAGGGGTGTGATAGACAGATTTCTAAGGCAGTCTTCAGGATTCCTCTTTCCTGGCTTATGCACCCTGTGTATCCCTCTCTCCACTTGGGCATAGAATGGAGCAAGATGATGAATTTTACCTAGAACTAAGTTGTGCTATATAACAAAGGTGAAGGAATTATGCAGATATAATTGAGATCTCAAGCCAGTCCACTTTGAGTTAATGAAAAGAGAGTTTATCTTGGAAATAGGCTTTACTTAAAAGTGTCTGGGCCCTTCCTGAAGGAAGAGGTTCAATAAATAAAAATCTCTGGAGGGGCCACACAGCAGGGAACTGAGAGGGGCATCTTGTTTCCAAAAGCAGCCCCAGCCTCATCCCTCAATCACAAGTTTCTGTCAACAACTGCTATGATTTCAATAAGTGTCCCTCAAAGGCCACTGCTGAAGGCTTGTTTCCCATCCTGTAGCTCTATTGAGAGTCGGCAGAATCTTTGAGATGTGGGGCCGGGTGGGAGGAATTTAGGTCTCTGGGAATGTGCCTTCTCTTAAGAAGACTGTGGAACTCTGACACTTTTCTCTTCCTCTCCTTTTGCTTCCTGGACACAATGAGTAAGCAGGTCAGTCTACCATACACTCCCCACAAGGATCTGCTGCCTTTGCCACAGATCCGAAGAAAAAGAGTCAATTGAGCATGGACAGGAACCTCTGAAACTATGACCCAAAATAAACTTTTTTATAATTTTAAGTTGATTATCTCAGGTATTTTGTCATAGGAACAGAAAAACTAACACAATAACCACATGAGCTTGAAACAGAAACCCAAACTTCAGTCAGCAATGTAGCCCAACTGACTTTAGGAATTTAGCCTTGTGAGAAACTTTCAGCAGAGAACCCAGCTCAGCTGTGCTCTAATTTCTGGACTCCATTAGATAATAAATAGCTGTTATTATAGGCTACTAAGTTTGTGGTAATTTGTAATTCAGCAATAGAAAACTCAAACATGGGGAAATTTGTACTTGAAAAGGAATTAGGAGGGTTTCAAATGCCAAAATAAGAGGTGATCCAGTTGTAAATTTTGTCTTGCTTTAGCATAGAAGGGTAATATGAGGGGACAGCAATCAGAATGTGGGGGGAGACCTGAAACCAGGTTCTAAGATGGAAACTCCTATGTTTTGAATGTGTCCCCCAAATTTTATATGTTGGAAATGTAATTCCCATATCCATACATCAATGGTACTCAGAAATGGAGCCTGTGGGGGGTGATGGGTCATGGGAACTCTTCCCTCATGAATAAATAAGTCTACTCATGGATTAATGAGTTGCCAAGGGCGTGTTATCAAAGTAAGTTCTCCCTGGCTTGCTTGCTCTGTCTCTCCATTTGGTACCCCTCACCATGCCACTGTGCATCAGAAAGACTCTCACCAGATGCTGAGACTCTCACTCAGAAGACACCAACCAGTTCAGTGTTCCTGGACTTCCCAGCCTCCAGAACAGTGAGCCAAATAAATGTCTATTCTTTGTACATTACCCAGTCTCAGACACTTTCTTATAGCAACAGAAAATGAACTAAGACAGGAATCTAAAGGAATTCTTAAACTGAAAAGAATGTGCTTGGCCTCTAAAAGAGAAGTTGATTTTTGTCTTCAAACCCTCCATGAGCCGCCCTAGGTAGAGGTATTGGACATGCCCAGGTGACCAGAAGCACAAGATGCAATGTGATCTTAACAGAAGGAAGATTCTAACACTCCAAGATGTCTAGAAACAGAAAAGGTTGCCTTTATTATTTAGATCCCTAGTCCTTTCCCCCAAAGTATATAACACACAATTGAATTAAATTATAAATAAGAATAAGAGGAGAAATCAGGGTGAATAAGTAGTGATTGTATTTAAAAATACAAGTAGTGATTTTTAAAAACTCATGAGCTACCAGCAATGGGCAGGGGGTTAGATTTTAAAGATTGGTGCAGTCAGCAGTTCCTGTGTTTCTCAATTTTGATGTCACTTCAAACAGTTGGTATCACTGTTCCCAACAGATGCTAAGGATGTAGAGATGAACTAGGATGATATTGGACCAGGGACAAAATAACACCTGCATACTGCCATTATTGCATGTTTCCCAAAGGAAAAGCAAAAATTGAGAAAAAGAAAGACTCCAGTATAGCCTAATACTTTAGCCCTAAAAATTAGCATGGAATTCTAGCAAGTATGATGGCATCCCATGGAAGACTCCTTTCCCCTGATGACCCAGTCCCAAGCTCTCTAAAGGCTTTCTCTGTCCTTTCCTCCCATACACAGTCTTTCTGGGGCTACCTTGGAGTGGATGGGAAGAGGAAGAAGAGCATTGTAAGCAGTAGGTTTTTGTGCTATATATCTCTGAACCCTATCCAGAGCACCAGGGTGGGAATACCTGCTTCTCCCAGCTTGGATTCCAGGCAATCAAGACCTTCTTTTCCAGAGGCATTGCCTGATAGAAAAATATGGGCACATCCCTAAATAGTTGTCCAAATTGTCCAAAGCCAGGGGGAGAACAAGAGCTCAGCAGTACTCAGAACCATCCTCTCACTACAGAGCCTACCTGACTGATGCAAGCAAAATTTACCAATTCAACGCTATTTATTATAGCATATCTTTATGCCTGCCTTCCATTTCCCTTTCCAAAAGAATTCCTCCCTGTGCATCTTTCTTACTCAATTTGTTATAAGTAATTTTATTCCCTCCAGTTTTTTCCAGAACATGTATTTGCTGAATCTCATAGACTGATTATCTAATTTCATAATTTTTCTTTTCCTAATTGCCATCTCTTATCTTTCTGTACTGGTGTCTGAAACACTTCTGGAACTTCATATCCCAACACATTTTTAAATTTTTCAATGTCTTCTAACATATTTTTTAAAAATACTTTTAATTGTAGATAGACACAATACCTTTATTTTATTTAGTTTTTTTTTTTTTTAATGTGGTGCTGAGGATCGACCCCAGTGCCTCACACATACTAGCCAAGTGTTTTACCACAGAGCCACAACCACAGCCCTCTTCTGTCATATTTTTAATCTCCAATAATCCTTTGTTATCTCACTTTTTTCTTTTATAAAGCAAGCTCCTCCTGTCTGGAAGAATAATATTTTGTCCATTTCACTAAAGTGAAATTCTAAGTTTTCTGCTTCCCATGATATCTCTATGACTTTTCTTTTTCTGAAGTTTATGTTTGCCTTTGATTTAAATTCTTGCTATTATTTTTGTCATTCTCATTGGAAGCATTCCTCAAATTCCTGGTGGCCCTCAGCTGCCCATAATCTATCCCAGACAGTCCCTCCTGGCCTTTAAACACCTGGCTCCCTGCTTTCACACCCCTAGCCAAGTCCTACATGTGGGCTATAATTCCTCAGCCCTGTGCTACTCGTGGCCATAGCTGGAGTTAGATGAGTGACTTCTCCAAGACACTCAGAAGGTGGTCAGAAGCATGGCATGCACAAAAGGGCAAAAATTGTCAGCTTAGGAATGACTGTGACAAAAATCCCCAAAACTATTTTTTCTTTGCTCCTCCTCCTCCTCCTCCCTCCTCCTCCTCCTCCTCTTCCTCCCCCTCCTCCTCCTCCCCCTCCTCCTCCTCCTCTTCCTCCACCTCCTCCTCCTCCCCCTCCTCCTCCCCCTCCTCCTTCTCCCCCCCTCCTCCTCCTCTTCTTCTTCTTCTTCTTCTCACCAATTCTTCTTCAGTGTGTATTGCACAAAAGAACTGTCCTACAGGTGACTTCTTCCTTCTCTGCACTTCCAGAGACTGCTGGCTACAACTCTGTCTTCACTATCTGACTACACAATAACTGGAGGATCTGTCCAAGTCTCTGTGACTTGGCCAGGCACAACATAGCTGCTGGGTTTTATATGCCCTAAAGAATATGTTTTCCATATGCTTTCTCCATGGCTGATCATTTCTACGTGGAAAAGTACAGAGACACTCAGAATCCTTTTTGCACAGCTAACCTTCTTGCTGTGCTGCTCTTTCCTGAACTCTCTAATTTCAGACTTGCTCATCAATTTCTTACAAGACAAACTCAGTGATAGTTGAGCACCCATCAAGAAGCAGCACAGCTGTCCTAGATCCTCATGAGAACCCTCCCCACCAAACATCAGGGACCTCATTTCCAGAGGAGTAACCACATACCAAAGCTCTGCTTGGGTTTGATGCCAAAGCCTATGTTCACCACAGCTGACCATAGAACTTACTTTTGTTAACCCTCAGAATTTACTTTTGTTCTGCCAAGAGAATGCAGTTCCCAGGGGGACAGGGTGCCAGCATTCCACATGGAACTGCAGGCAGGGCCATGTGTGCAGAGAGAAGACCCCAGAAGATGCTGCCTCTCCTGCTCATCTTTCTCCTGACAACCGCTGGTGAGAAGACCTGCCTCCGTTGCTGGCCACAGATGCCTGCCCTGCTGGACTATGACCTGCAGATTCTCTGGGGCACCTCACCACCACCAGTAGAACTCTCCCAAAGCCTCCACTCCTTCTTCCTGGAGGATACTTCCTCGATAAAATCCTCTTATCTTGGTGAGGTACTTCCAGGATTCCAGGATCCAGGACTCACCCTTTCACCCAAACTGGATCTTACTTCCCTGGCTTTCCTCATACATCTCGCCCCTCAGATAAGAACCATCTGGAAGAAGAAACAGCCAAATTCTTCAGCCAAGTTGACCAAATCATTCAGAAGTTACGCAATAGTGAGGAGGCCAAGTGTCCCAGGGCCCTGGGGCTTGGGTTGGCAATATCCCATCCTCCAAAGCATTCCCAGAGGACTGCTTTGGTCATAGGGTGGGAGATAGACACAGCATGACTCTGTGTCCTCTATGGAATTTCTGTTTGAAGACAAGTGTGAAATCCCAACATGGAGCAATTCACACAACTGAGCTCCTTTCCCCCCCCCCTGCTCCAGATAAATCGTCACTTCTGGAAGAGATTCGTGTATATAAGGGTCTCCTTGCCGAGAGGCTGAATAGGAGATCAGAGGAGTTGAAGCAGAAGGGTGAGAGATGGGACTTCCCCTGCCCACGGCCCAGCTCTTCACCCCCATGGAGACCCAAGGCCTGTAGAGTCCAATCTGAAGCCCCTCCCAGACTCTTCCCAGGAACCCCCAGCCCTGACCACAGGCTGGACACCTGCCACACCTTCCCCAGTTCCATGTCCTGCTCACACACCCAACCCCTCCTGGCTCTGTCTGCTTCCCCAGTGTCTCAATTTCTCCACCATCTCACCTTTCCGGGCAGCCTGCAATGAGTCCTGTGGTGAGTGTGCTTGGGTACTGGACTTGACTGAGGGACAAGAGCCCCCCACCCCCCGTGGCTTCCTCTAAGGCTCCTGCCCATCCCTCTCATAGACATCAGATCCACAATAGAGGTCACTGCGTGTGCAGACTGCGATACCCACGTCTTATCCTGCAATGACGCTGCTCTCTGCCCAGGTCAGTGGTCCCTGCTGTGTCCAGTGTACCCTCTCCTGGCCCTTCACCCCTGGGGCTATTATTGTTTCTCTCCCTCTTTTTTCTCTGTCCAACTCAAAACTTTTCTTACTCAACTTCCTCCTCTTGGGTGACAGTAGTGCCTTTGGGATTTCTTAACATTCATGTGTCCAGGTTTAGAGCCTGAAAGCCATCTACCTCTAGGTCCTCAGAGTCAGCATGCTTGGAAATGTGCCCAAATCCATTTCCACTGCCCCCAAACCTGCTCTGCCTTCATGGTCCTTTTCAGCATATGTCTTTACTCAAGCCCTTCACTTCCTAAGCCAGGAATCTCCCTCCATCCTAAACCATGAGGTCCCCAAGCCTTGCTAAATAACTTTTAAATGTGTCCCTATATTTTCATTCTAACTTGCGCCCCTCTTCCTCAGACATCCTAATCTCTCACCTGAGTTATGGCAACCTTTCCTAACTGGCTTCCCTGACCCTCCTGGCCACCACAAAACTCTTTCTCAAGGAGAAAATTTGCCCATGATACTCCCTGTTTATAACCTTCAGTAGCTCCAAATATCCCAGATAACATCCAACCTCCTCGGGAAGCCCCATGTGAGCAGCCCCTGCCCATCTCCCATGGCCCCGACTATCCAGCCACACCAAGCTGTGGACACTCTGGACAGATGCGCAGCTTCATGCTCCCATTCCTGAACATTTCTTCAGCCTGGAACACAGGTTTGCCTGTGAACCATGGAAATGAACCTCTATTTGTCTTTCACAGTCCCAATCAGAGGTCCTATTTTCTGAGCAATTTTCTGATGCACTCCCACCCCCAGGGACTCATCATCCTTTCTCCCCATCCCATGCGCTGTCCTAGTTCCCACACAGTAATTGTTTCCTTGTCCTCTTCCTAGAGAGCAGGGACCATGTCTCATTCATCTCTTGAGGTGTGCTGGGCACAGAAATAGTGCTCAGCCAGGGTTTGCCAAACATGACTTGAGTAGGTGGATAATAAAAGAAGAAAGGGATGTGGGACCTTCTCTGGAGCCCAGACAGTCCCTCCTGGCCTTTAAACACCTGGCTCCCTGCTTTCACACCCCTAGCCAAGAAAATGAAGTCCTACATATGGGCTATAATCCTCAGCACTGTGCTACTCGTGGCCATAGCTGGAGTTGGGTGAGTGACTTCTCCAAGCCCCAGGGTGCCCAAGGAAGAATTCCTATTCCTTGACTGACCCATCTCCACCCTGTTTCCTGGCTCAGATGTTACCTCCTCTGGCTCAAGGGGAAGAAAAAGAAGGAAGCAGAAGAGGTACTGAGAAAGTAGAGCCCTGCCAGACTGTAGGCCTGCCACAGGGGAATAAGCAGGGTGCCCTGTGGGGAGCAAGGCCTGGAGGCCCCAGCTCTGGCCCCTGAACATAGCAGGTTCATGGACCAGAACATAGGAAGGCCGCACATCAGCCCCAAACACACAGACACACCCAGGACCAGGGGCCCAGAATGTTTCCAGGCAGATTTGGCAGTGGGGACTCCCAGCAAGAGGTCAGAGAAACCAAGGGCAGAGTGGAAACCCTGCTTATTTTCTTTGCAGGAAAAACAAGGCAGCCACTCATCTCTCGGAAGTGGAAAGAAGTCACAGCAGCAGATGGAGGAAAAACAATCCACCTCCACGCTTGGTAACGCTTCCACTGACTCCTTCCACTGACCGCTCCCAAGTTCTGAGGCCCAAAAGACTGTCTCTCTCATGGGCTCCCTACACACATACATGCGTAAATAGTCCTTTCATTAAAACATCCTCTTTGTATTCTAATTGACTGTGCATTCTCTCTCCTGCTAAGACCAGGAATAAAACTAGATCATCTCCCTCGACCCTGTGTGGACTGCCATGTCTGGGGCCAGAGCTCTGAATGAGCAGCCTAGAGCCTTGGGTTTCTATTTTGACTTCCAAACAGGGCTCTAGGTCTTCCCCTCTGAGTCTCAAGTTTCTCCTCTGAGCATGAGAATGAGGGAGGACTGGTTTATATTTGCTACGCAATATTTGTTCATGGCATGGATCCCAATTCAAAGGTAGGATACAAGGAATAAGAAATAGGTAGAAAGGAGATCTGAAAGAAGAACAAGAAATAAGGATTTAAATTCTGACGTTCCACAGACTTCTCCAGGCCTCCCATTCCCTAAGCCAGTGTCTCTCCTAAGCTTATTACTTCCAAATTCCTGAGAAATTTATAAATCTACCTGTGCACTGTTAATTGATCTCTGATAAATTGATTAAGCAAAGAGAGAAGTGATATCTTGAGAAAACTATAATTTAGAGAATTTTCCAGAGCTATTTATTGACCAGATAGTGAAGACAACATCAGCCCAATAATCTGCTCAGACCACCAGAACCCATCTTGAAATCACCAGACTGATATTATTCCTGCATACCTTCCCTTAACTACCCCTCACCAAGTTTCCTTTAAAAGAAGGGCAGGCAACCCCAAGACTGCACCTCTTACCCATGAGATGGCCCGCATTCTCCCTTGAATGTGTATTCCTTGTTTCACCCCCAAAAGTGCCTCTCTCTTGAGATTACCTGGTTCTCACCTGAGTGTGTAGCTACTTTCCTCAATCAACCTCTGTCTATACCTGGCAGGTGTATGCAAAACTCTCTTCCACCACATAAGCCAAGAACCCTGCTGGTGCTGAGTCAGTTGTCTGAAAACTCTTCAGACACTTCACTGGAGATGCTTCTCCCATAAACAATCCTCCTCCTCGGTGACCTACCACCCTCTTCCCCAGAAATAGCTTCTTCTTTCCTAGTCTCCAAAGTAGTAAGAGACCTATACAAGTCTCTCCTTATTCCAAATCCAGAGATCAGGGCAGAGGTAGCCCAGGTGCCTCAAGGGGTTCCCATCTATGGGCATAGAACAGAAGAGGCAAGGTGCCAATTAAGTCCTGAGCAAAAGCAGAGACTAGCAGGAGGCCATCAGAAAACAGGCTCCAAGTCCCACCATCAATCAGCAAGGCCACCAAGTCCTAGCCAGGATGGCCAAAGTGCACCCCTGGTACTACTAGCCAATGAAGTCCCCTGGTCTTGCCTGTGTTGGGAGCTTTGTCACTTCCTGCTTCATGTCCCTCAATGCCCCTTTCCTTTTGAGGCTTCAAGGCTGCCAGGCTAAATGGAACTCTCTGCCTCTCCTCGCTGACACTCCCCACTCTCTTAGCCTGGTCCTAGTTTCGTCCTGAAACTAGCCAGGGCCCTTTTGCAATCTGGAGTTCTGTGGAGCCCCTGAAGGCCCCTGCCAGATTCAGGGTCCAGGTCATCAGATCTGCTCCTGGGCACAGAAAGGAAGTGGGTCTGGGACCAGAGCTCTGAATGAGCAGCGTAGAGTCTGGGTTCCTATCTTGACTTCAAAACAGGGCCCTGGGTCTTCTCCTCTGGGTTTCAGGTTTCTCATCTGAGCATGAGAATGAGGGAAGACTGGTTCATATTTGCTACCCAATATTTGTTCATGGCATGGATCCCTAATTCAAAGTCCTTGCTCCTTTCCCTGCTTCAGTGTTCTTTCTTCACTGATACCCTGCTGGGGCCTTCAGCCAGGTTCCTAAAATAAGTCCTCTTGTGTCCTATGCCCTGCTGGGGCTCCCTCCTTGGAGCCCATGGCTGGACCCAAGAGCAGGCCAGTTTCAGTATCCCCATTCTGCAGTAAGGACTACTCTTGGGCATAGCTCAGGTCCTGCTAGAGGCCCTAGAGGCAATGGAAGTGGGTCCCCACCCCAGGTATCTCACCCAGCTGGGGATCCAGGATCCAGGAAGGCTTCCCTGAGGTAGTGTCTTAAACCTATGTGATTGTCCAGGGAAGAGCAGAAAAGGAGAGACAAAGAGTTCAGCACTGCAGAGGAATAATGGAGGTACAGAAACCTCCATTATTTCAAGAAACTCCAAGGAAGGAGCACAGGTGAGAAGAAAAAAAGTGAGGCCCAGAGGAAGTCAGAGAGAAGAGTGCACTGAGCTCAAGAACAGCAGCTGGGCAGGGAGGGCTAAAGAGGGGAGTGTGGGGACAGAGTGGTAACCATTCTGGCCAGGCCAGAGTTCACCAGGCAGCTGGCCTGACTCCAGGGTAGAGAAAGCTGCTGATCACCCAGGACATAGAGAAGCCAGATGCTCATGGTGGTGATGGTGTTTGTCTATTTGTGTTTAAACTGGGACCTAGGCCATTACTTAAAGTGTCCAGGATGACTGTTTTCTGATGCATGCAGTAAAAATAGAAAGCCCTGGGCATAGTTTATATGAAGTATGAGTTATGTTTATCTATGTGTCTGTGTGCATGCATTTCATATCAACAGATTTTTTATCATTTTGTGGGCATATTTGTATGAAAACTCGACATTTAGTTTTGCAAGAGTAGAAAGATTAAGGAATTTGGAATCAGATAAAAATATAGACTTGCTCAAAACATAGGCTCTGGAGGCCTTCTGCTTCTGGCTATGACAGAGTAGCTTAGCAGATCAACCCTCCCGGCAAAGGGAACATGAAATAAAATGCACCAAAAGAAAACATTAGAACAAAAAGTCTGCTTTGAAGCTTCAGAAGAGATAGGTCCCAAGTATCCAAAGTCTTGGAGAGAAGGGGAGCTCAGGATGTACCCAGAGTTCTGCTGTATGCATCCCATGTGCATAGGCCAGGCTACAGCAGCACAGGGAAGAGGCTGCAGGGGTGGGGTTGAGGGTGACCTTACAGTTGGAGGGAGCGTGCAGTAATTGTGGGACCTCAGAGTCAAAACTTGCAGTTCTAGCTCACCAAGACAGAACGTGAGGAGTCTAGATCTGAAAGTAGGAAGGTGCAGAAAAGTAAACAAATACACTGCATCTCTTTCCTCACCAACCCACTCCCGTGCAGCCTAGAGCTATAGACAGAGAAACAAAGAGAAAATTGTCTGAAATGCAATTTATCAGAGATTTGGATGCTAGAGAAATAAGCCTTGGAGTTCATGACCCACATAGGAAGGTACTTTTGATAACTAGGCCAGGGGATTAATGGGGAAGGCTGTCCCACCAGAGACAGGCCAATCCCCACAAAGTATGAAACCCAGTCTCAAAGCACCTTGGCCCCTGACAATATTCATTGCACTTCTGGAGGAACCACAACTATGTCTGGTTCACAATGACCAGCATCCAAACAAATATTCACAGACATACCAAAATATAAGGGTCCCAAGAGAATTTGGGGAAAAAAAAGACCATAGAAACAGACTTACAAGTGATGGGTCTACGGTCGTTGTCAGATATGGATTTTAAAATACTGTGACTAGGGTGGCTCAAGAGCTATGAAACATAAAAATTTGCAATGTTTATGTATATAAGCACTTCAGCATTATCAGTAATATTCACAAATATGAATATAAATAAATAAACATTTTAGTATTGCTGGGTAAAAAAAATAAATAAAATAAATAAAATAAAATACTGTGACTAATGCATTGAAAATTATTTAACATGTTTTTCCAACAAATGACACCGGAGCAATCGGAAATTCATAGGCAAAATGAGCTTTGACTGAAGTTCTATACATTATATAAATAACCAACCCAAAATGGATCAGGGACTTAGACGCAAAACATAAAAAACGAAGACAGGCAAAGAATTCTTACACTTATACCATAAGAATAACCCATGAAAGGATCTATGATGTGAACTGGACATTATCAAAATTGAAAACATTTGCCCTGTAAAATACCCTATTGAGAAGATAAAAAGACAGACGAGAAACTAGGAGGGAAGATTTTCAAACCACCATATCTGACAAAAGACTAGCATGTAGACCGTGTAAAAGACTCTCAAAACTCAACAGTAAAAGTCAAATGATCCAGTCTGAAAATGGGCAAAAGACAGGAGAGACTTTTCACGGAAGAGAATAGACAAGTGGTAATTCAGCACACACATCACTAGCCATCAGAAAAATGCAAACAAAACCACAGTGACACACCAGTAACACCTGTGAAAGTTCTCCTGCCTCAGTGGGCACTGGAGGGTCCACTAACGGTTGGACATCTGTGCATGTTACTTGGTACTCTCACAATGACATCACCATCACATGCTGGTGAGCAAACAGAGCATGGGGATCCTCATATGTTGCTGGAAGGAACATGAAATGGTGCAGCCACTTGGGGTGTGTTTGGGGGGAGCAAATATGCATGTGTGCCTGTTCTCCAGGGTCCACAGATTCCTGGGAGATTTCCTTGATGACAGGGTTTCATAGTAGCACTCTTCTTCACCAATGGGCAGAAGCCACCAATATCCCTGAATGTGAAAATTTCTTAATATACAGACCCTTTTTCAGGACTGGAAATGTTCTTGCATATCTGCAAGCCTTTTCGCTAGGTGAGTTATTTGAATTCATCAGTCGATTCACACCAACAGAGGTCAAATTGATCCAGGAAGGGGACAGTAAGTAGAGATGCCTGATCACAAAACCCTGACCCCCTGGTTTGGGATGACAGAGAAATTCCTACACAACAAATTTCTTCCCAGGGAAGGTGCCAGGGCCAATCTGTGGCTCAGAGTCTAGTGAGGAGTGGACCTGAAGAAAGATCTCTCCAGCCTCAAGACAATTTTGAAGTCTGTCTTTGCTGTTTATTTAGATCACAGTCATGTTGTTTCCCTTCTCTCCACCCAGCTTCAGGCATGGCAGGAGACTGTCCTAGAATCCTATCACCCAGTTCC